TCTGGGCCTGGGCGCTGTCCCTCAGCTCTTCAGCTCAAGGCTAGCACTCTACCACTTGAGCCACAGCGCCACTTCCAGCTTTTTTTTTTTTCCTTATGTGGTGCTGAGGAATCGAACCCAGGGCCTCATGCATGCAAGGCAAGTGCTCTACCACTGAGCCACCTTCCCAGCCCTGTGCCCATATATTTTAAAGAAATATGTAAGCCACAAAGTGATGCTGAAAGGGATGTCTTTCACTAGCCCTCCTAAAAAAATTTATGAAAAATGAAGCTATGTACTTGTAATATTCTATAGTACTTCTGTTATATGAAATTCTAATAGTTGTAAGATGTAAAGCTTAGTACCACTCCTACCCCCAGTCATTTGGTTTGCTGCTCTCTGCTAGCAGCTGTCTTTGATTGGTAATAAAGAACAGTATCATTACTCTCAGGGATGCTTCAAGGAGAGATTTGGCCCATCATTTTTTGCATGTATGCCAGTCTTGGGGCTTGAACTCAAGGCATGAGTGTTATCACCAAGCTTTTTTTTTTCCCCCTCAAGGCTAGCACTGTACCATTTGAGCCAGTAGTTTTTTGGTGGTTAATTGGAGATAGTGTCTTAAAGACGTTCCTGCCTGGCTGGCTTTGAACTACAATCCTTAGATCTCAACCTTCTGAGTAGCAAGCATTACAGGCATTTTTGTTGGTTGTGGGGCTTGAACTCTGGGTCTGGGTGCTGTCTCTGAGCGCTTCAGCTCAATGCCACTTGAGCCACAGTGCCACTTCTGGTTTTCTGGTAGTTAACTGGAGAAAAAAGTCTCATGGACTTTCCTGCCCAGGCTGGCTTTGAAGTGCAATCTTCAGATCTCAGCCTCTTGACTAGCTAGGATTACAGGTGTGAGCCACTGGTGCCCAGCTCAGAATTCATTTTTTAACCAATTATTCATACATATTTCATGTGTCAGGTACTATACAAAATATCGAACTGTGAAAGAATGATTAGCTTCCAGAAAAAAATCCTTGGTAGTTTTCTCTATAACATACATGCAGTGAGATGACTCCTTGGCAGGGAGCATAGAATCAAAGCTTGTATTTAGTTGTAGCTCCCCATTCCTATTTTTTGGGTCGGTGGTGGGGCTTAAACTATGGGCCTGGATGCTGTCCCTAAGCTCTTCAGCTTAAGGCTAGTGCTCTACCACTTGAGCCACAGTGCCACTTCCGGCTTTCTGGTGGTTAGTTGGAGATAAGGGTCTCATGGACTTTCCTGCCCTGGCTGGCTTTGAACTGCAATCTTTAGATCTCAGCCTCCTGAATAGCTAGGATTACAGGTGTGAGCCACTGGCACTCAGTTCTAAAATGTATTCTTAAGAATTAGTCTTAAAAAAAAAAAAGAATTATAGTGGGGATGGGAGGGAAAACAGAGAGAGCAAGGGAAGGGGTGTCCAAAAAAAAATATATTCTTTACCTTATGTAACTATTACCCTTCTGTATATCATCTTTATAACAATAGCAAAATATAGAAACAATCTTAAAAAAGGATTAGTCTATAAACAGACTAATGTCATGAATATAAATAGTTAAATGAGACTAAGAAAAACACTTGGCTAAGAGTTCAACTGTACTAGTCTTGGTTATTTAAAATGAACACTGCTGCCATAAATTGGTGGCTGATTCATGTAATCCTAATCACTTAGGAGGCGGAGATCTGAGGATTAAGGTTCAAAGCCAGCAGGAGCAGAAAGTTGGTGGCACTCTTATCACTAATAAACTACTAAAAAAACAAACAAAAAACCAGGAGAAGCCGGGTTCTGTGGCTCATGCCTGTAATCCTAGCTACTCAGGAGGCTGAGATCTAAGGATCATGGTTCAAAGCCAGCCCGGGCAGGAAAGTCCGTGAGACTCTTATCTCCAACAAACCACTAGAAAACTGAAAGTGGTACTGTGGCTCAAGCAGTAGAGCACTTGCCTTGAGCTAAAGAGCACACAGACAGTTCCCAAGCCCAGAGTTCAAGCCCCACAATCGACCAAAATAAACAAAAAACAAAAACAAACAAACAACAACAACAACCCCCCCCCCAAAAAAAAAAAACCAGGAGTGGAGTTGTGGCTAAAGTGGTAGACTAATAGCTTTGAGCAAAAGAAGCTCAGGGATAGCACTCAGGCTCTGAATTAAAAGCATTAGGCTGGCACCAAATAAAGAATAAAGATAAAAGAAAGAATACTGACTTGTAGTTGTCATTCCTGTAGAGTTATGCAACCTGCATGTCCTAATGACAAGAGTTGGTAGCAAGTCATTTCAGTAACTTTTTGTTAAAGATCTTTTCATTTTTCATATAATTGTGACATCAAATAATCACAACATGTAGTAGTTCTCACACATAAAGTAGGTACTCTACACATTTTGTATAACCTAATACTTCATGAGTAAAAATGATCAATTGTTAAATGAAAGTACATATCAAGCAAAAGTAGCTTCCATTTAAAAAAGGGCTACTCAGAAGGCTGAAATCTGAGGAGCAGTTTGAAGCCAGCCATGGCAGGAAAGTATGTGGGATTCTTTTCTCCAAATAACCAGCAAAAAGCCAAAACTAGAGGTATGGCTCAAGTGGCAGAACACTCGCCTTGAGTGACAGAGCTAAGAAACAGTGCTCAGGCCCTGTTCAAGCACAAGTACCAACATTAAAAAAAAAAAAAACCCAAAAATAATACTGTCTGAATTAATGATAATGTAAATACTTTAGGACATAAATCAATTTTAAAAAGTGATTAGCCCTTGCTGTTGGTTTTCCTTATGAGAATATATCCATCTGATAACTTAAAACTAAAAAAAAAAAAAAAGGTAATTACCAGCAGTATTATATACCAGAAATTTAAAAAGGAAATTCAATGGCAAATAGCAAGTAATATTTGGCATACCTGCTGCATGGATAGGTGTTCTCTTCAAAATGTAATCTTTTACTAAGATCGAAGCTCCCTGATTAATGAGTACATCCACACATTCAACATGGCCCTTAAATGCTGCAAGATCTAAAGGTGTTCTTCCACTACTGTTTCTCACATCCAGATCTAACAAAGACTGTACCAATACTTCCAGTGCTTGATGGTGACCATGATAGGCCTAGAAATAAAAAATATATATAAATTTAAAAATACACATTTATTTATTATACTGACTTCCAAAATACTCACTTTTATTTCTTTCTTGTCTTCCTTTATTTTCTTCCTTCTCTATCCTCTTCTTTTTCCTTTCTTTCCCATTGCCACCCCCTATTTATGGTGATGGGGCTTGAACCTAGGGCCTTTGCATACTAGGCAAGTACTTTAACATGGATCTATACTTCCAGTTCATCAATTGTCCTCACATCATCATAACGTTTCATATAATACAAACTTCTACAGCAGAATACAGAACTTTATTTTTTCTAATAAATATAGCAGGCTACCATATTAGCGAAAGGTGATAATAACAGGTGATGCCCAGTTCACAATGAACATTGAATGCATGTGACAGGTATTCACTAAAATCTGATTTTGAGTCTTTGATTACAAAGCCTGTGTTCTTAATCACAGTTTGGTGCTCAATATTAACTGACAGAATTCTATTACCCTTTAATCATAGGGATAGCTATGTAACTTGAGTTGGTGGTTGAGTATTTTGATATACCAGAACTTAAAAATAAACATGTCAGCCAGTGGCTCGCATCTGTAATCCTGGCTACTCAGGAGTCTAATATCTAAGGATCACAGTTCAAATCTCTATCTCCAATCAATCAGCAATAAAGCCAGAAATGGCATAGCACTACTATTAACCTTGAACAAAAAAGGTAGCCTTGTACAAAAATGCTAAGTAAGGGACATCATTCAGGCCTTGAATTTTAGCCCTAGTAGCAGTACAATAAGTAAGAAATAAGTACAATAAAAATAAACATTTCCTTTACCTAAAATACTTACCTGAGGTCAGCTTCAACAGATACCATGTGTTGCATTTCCTAGCTATATGCCTATAGATAAGACTATATGATCTGTCAGAAGTGAATAAAGCCCCATCTTTATATAGAATGTCAATAGAACATGTATTATTTACATTGTACTATATGCCAGACATCAGCCTTCTGAGAAGCTAGGATTACAGTGGTGAGCCACTTAGCACCAAGCTTTGCTTTTTTTTTTTTTTTTAAAACCAATACATACAATATACCTTGGGACAACTGTGTGTGTGCGTGCGTGCGTGTGCGCACGTGCACGTGTGCTGATACTGGGGCTTAAATTCATCACCTTTTGCTCATGTTTTTCCCCACCACTCATAGCTGGTGCTCTACCACTTGGGCCATGTCTCCACTTCTGACATTTTGCTGGCTAACTGGAGATAACCAGTCTCTTGGATTTGTCTGCCTGGGCTTGTTCCAAACTGAGACCACAGATCTTAGCCCTCTGAATAGCTATGATTTTAAAAAGGAAAGGGCAAGAGGGAATAGAACTAAAGATCACCTACAATATAACAAAGAATATATTATTAACCTGTAAATACAAAAAGAGAAACTTGCAGGCCCAGTGTGATGGCACATACTTGTAATTCTAGTACTGGGGGGACAGGAGGGCTAAGAGTTCAAAGTCAGCCTGGGTTGTATAACAAGATAATATCCCACAAGGAGAAATGGCAAAGAGAAGAGGAAATTTGCCAAGTAGAGGGTCAGAGGGTTCACAAGAACATGAAATTTCTAAAGAAACACTATTAGGTTAGTAATGTAAGTCTGTAGAGAATGTAACAGAATGACTGTGTTTGGAGAACTCTTCATATGCTTCTGATCTGTCTACAGGGAAAGAGGCTGGCACTAGTAAATGTTCAGGAAATGACAGTGCTGTTATATTTTGAGAATGAAGATGATGATACAAGGATTGCCTTGCCATATGCTCAGAGTTCATTTCTTGCTGCTAATACCAAAATAGCTATTTCTTCATATTGGATTTTCAGACTTCTTATTTACTTTATTCAAGACTTTTAGAGGGCGAAAATGTTTCCATGGATTCAAAGAGCACAGAAGCACAATGTTTAACCATGCCTTTGTAGTTATTTAGACCATGAAAGACATTATTATGGGAAGCAAGGGACAGAAAGAACAGATCCAGTTGAGTGTCAGTATTAAGAGTATATGCAAGAAAAATATTAAAAGAATTGAATTTCTAGTAATCCTCATTAAGTTATACATCCTATATTTTACTATACTTATTAACAGAAGTCTCACAGCATCAGTATTGTCATTTTTTTTTTTTGAGTCCGGTCTTGGGGCCTGAACTCTGGGCCTGGGCGCTGTCCCTCAACTCTTCAGCTCAAGACTAGCACGCTACCACTTGAGCCATAGCACCACTTCTGGCTTGTTTCCCCTGCTTTTATGTGGTGCTGAGGAATCAAACCCAGGGCCTCATGCATGCAAGGCAAGCGCTCTACCACTGAGCCACCTTCCCAGCCTCCATGATTTCTTTAAGTTGCCCCATTCAACATGCTTTGTTTAAAAATAAATTCTTCCTCTGTAGAAAAAGTTAGACTGTGTTCTATATAAAATTTTATGAGGTAATTTATTACTATATTGATTTAAAGAATTATCATACTCTCTCTACAATCTTCTCTTAGAAGAAACATTCAGAGAAATCTTAAAGAGGAAGGAATGTTACTATCAGGCAGTTGAAATTCTTAGCAAAAGCTGGGTGCTGGTGGCTTACACCTGTAATCCTAGTTCAGGAGGCTGAGATTTGAGGATCATGGTTCAAAGCCAACCTGGGCAGAAAAGCCCATGAGACTCTTATCTCCAACTAACTACCAGAAAACCGGAAGTGGCACTGTGGCTCAAAATGGGAGAATGTTATCCTTGAGAGAAAAAGCTGAGGGACAGTGCCCAGGCCCTGAGTTCAAGCCCTATGACCAACTTAAAAAACAACAACAACAACAAAAACATATACTGAAGTAGCATAAACACACAATTAGCACTCTGTATCACCAGGCAAAAAACTGAAGAGATAGCACAGAAATTGTGTGCTTAACAATTATACATCATAGAACTTACAGTCTTTCAACCTGGACAGTATATTTTAAGTCTGATGAGAGATATAGTCTCTTCTTTAAGTAGGCCTTGGAAGAAGCCATGGACATACACTTGAAAGAATAACATCCAAAGCCAGGTGATGGTGGCTCATGCCTGTAGTCCTAACTACTCAGGAGGCTGAGATCTGAGGTTCTAGGACAGTAGCCTAGGCAGAAAAGTCTGTGAGATCTTACCTCTAATTAATCACCAAAAGCCAGAAGTAAGTTCAAATGGTAAAGCCCCATGAGTATAAGAGCTCAGTGCCCAGGCTGAGTTCAAGCCTCAGTAACAGCACATAAAATAAAAAAAGAAAACAAAGAACAGGGCACTAAAGAGGCCTCTGGATTTTAGAAATACTTAAAATTTTAGTTACATAGACCAAAAGTTCAGGGATAGAACAGAAACTTGATATTTTCAGCAAATCAGCCACCAATATGGCTATGAAGGCAGTACTCACAGCTAGGTGTAAAGGGCTTACTGTTGCTCTATTATCTGAATCATTCAACATGTCTGTCCCCGAGGTTTCCATTAACTGAAAAAGAAGAGGTATTTTAAATATAAGAAATGATCTGTACATGTAGATACCATAATGTTTATTCCTCTCTTTTCTTTCTTCAAGTCATTTCAAGGTATACTAGGTAGATAACTCAACAACCTTCTAGAACAGGATCATCTCAAAGATGCATGTGGGAAGGAACACAGAATGACAGCACAGTTATTAAGTAGGTATATAGGGAATTAGAATTTAACTTGGACCATGTAAACTTCTCCCTACAAAATTTCTGTCATCATCTTTGCTCTTCAAGGTAAGTGGGAAATATCCAAAGCTTCAGTTTCAAGGAGAACAAGGAAGATATAACATTATAGGCAAATTGTCTAATACTTACAACATCTAAAGGAGTTTCACTTGCAATCTGAAAGATTAAAAACAAAAATAGTTTAGAAAGTATTAAGCCTTTTTTTCTAATTTTTATTCTGAATATGCATTTCTATTGCCTCAGAAAAAAACTAAAAAGCAATTATACAAAGTAACAGACCACAAATCTATATACACAGGTCTACGATTTTAAGCTAAAGACCCAAAATATCCTAAGAAAATATGAGCAATATTTTGTAGCAACTTGTAAATGTTGTAGTAAATGTTAACTTTTTCTTTTATATTCACTTTCCTGGAATTTTATTTCACCTTGAAAGGAAATAAAGTGAAATTTGTACCATGCTTATATAAAGAAATCTTTAAAAAACTGAGGTACCTGCTCCAAAGGAGTATATTTTAACATATCTCTTATTTTCTTTCTGGTTTGGCAAAGTGGATTGAATATATGTATATATCAGGATGACACCACAGTTGAAATAAAACTTCTTTTGCAGAAGTAGATTCTCCATTAAAAGACTTTTCAGGATATCCTAAGTATACAGGAGGAATCTGCCTTTCACAGGAGCTTTTATTTCTCATGTAAGATATATGAACAGTTTTCAGAAATTTATGGAAAAGATTCAAAGGGGCAGTAAAAGCAAATTTTACAGACCCAGATGTAGGACAATGTAGAATAAGGATGTAATAAATAGCCCTTTTTTCAGAGATTTATTTATTTCTGGTTTTTGTTATTTTTTAAACAGGAGTTTCACTATTATTGCCCAAGCTTCTAGCTCAAATCATCTTCTTAAGTGCCAAAATGACCTCCTCCTCTTTTTTTTTGTCAGTCATGGAGCTTGAACTTTGGGCCTGGGTGCTGTCCCTTAGCTCTTCAGCTCAAGGTTAGCTCTCCACTACTTGAGCCACAGCACCACTTTTTGTTTTCTGAGTGGTTTATTGGAGATAAAGAGTTTCACAGACTTTCCTGCCCAGGCTGGCTTTGAACTGCGATCCTCAGATCTCACGTGAGCCTGGCATCTATAAATGGGGCTTGAACTCTGGACTTGGGCGCTCTACCCCTTGAGCCACAGCACCACTTTTCGAGTGGTTTATTGGAGATAAGAGTCTCTTGGACTTTCCTGCCCGGACTGGCTTTGAACTTCGATCCTCAGATCTCAGTCTCCTGAGTACTGGGATTACAGGTGTGAGCCACCAGCGCCCCCCCCCCCCCCCCGCTATCTTTAGAGATTTTTTTAAGATAGGACCTTATTCTAGGCTGCACTGAACTCATCATCCCAAGTGTGCACCACCATGCTGAGCTCAGAGATTTAGTTTTTTCCTTTCTCCAAAGGAAAAAAGAACAAATACAATCGTACTAAAGTAATGAATTTAAGAAGTATAAGGAGACTGAAGATGTTAAAATACAAAACAGAATTTGTTTTTTTCTTTTTCTTTTTTACTGTAGTGGGGTTTGAACTCTGAGTGCCTTTATCATGTTACTAAACTATAAACTCACATTAGTTCTTTCCTAAGAATTTAGAAATCTTACCAGCTGAAGACATAGACGGTGACCGTAAGCAGCTGAGTAATGAACTGCATTGTATCCTTGCTTGTCCCGGATCCCTGGATTTGCATCATTTCTTAGTAAGTATTCCAGGCACCTATATACAGTAATAATATACTGAGAATTCAGAATCCTACATTTTTTTTTACCATTGATAAAAACAGAGACAAACTATGAAAAGCCAGCCTGGGGAAAAAGTCTGAGACTCTCATCTCAAATTAACTACGAAAAATACTGGAAGTAGTAGAGCTGTGGATCAAGAGCACTAGCCTTGAGCACAAAAGCTCAAGGACAGCTGTGGATCAAGAGCACCAGCCTTATAACACAAAAGCTCAAGGACAGCACCCAGGTCCTGAGTTTAAGACTTAGGACCAGTACCAAAGAAACAAAACAAACTGGGGCACTGAGGGCTCATGTTGGTAAGCCTACTCAAAAGGCTGAGATCTGAGAATCAAGGTTCAAAGCTAGCCAAGGCAGGAAAGTCCATGAAACTCTTATCTCCAATTAACCACCAGAAAACCAGAAGTAGATCTTAGGCTTAAAGTGGTAGAGTATTAGCCTTGAGCAAAAAAAAAGCTCAAGGACAGTTCCCAAGTCCTGAGTTCACACCCCACAACTGAAAAACAAAAACAAAACAAAATAAAAATCAATTGAAACTGAATACCAGAAAATAATGAAATGTTAACAGAAATCTCCTTTATTGAAACTGGGTAACTCCAAAGTTTGATACTAGGTTCACTATACCTAAAGGTTCTTTTTTTTCAAATAGACACTGTCCTGGTACCAGTCAATCTACACAAAGCAATATGTGATAGGATAAACCTTAGTGATGGTAAACATACAATGTTGGAGATATTTATTACTGATTATCTAGTAGAACATCGGGTACAATTGCTCATGTGAAAGCTCAAGAAAGGCTGTCATGCCTGCTCCAAGAAACCAAGGTCAGAATTCAAAGGTATTAAATTGGGAGACAGAGGTGGACAGACAGTAAAAGCATATGGAAGTCAAAAGAAATCCTTTCACATAGGAGATACTTCATTTAATTTCCACACTATTAAAATATGTGAAAAATAATTTTTAATCTACTATATAAATACTGTTACTATAGCAAAGACAAAGGCAGTGAATTTGAAATGCAAATATCTGCCTCTAAAGCCAATTTGGCATCAGTGATTTTGGACAAATAATTTCACTTTTACAATGAAATAATCTCTCTATTGGCACTGTAGCTCAAGTGGTAGAGTGCTTGCCTTGAGCTGAGGGACAGTGCTCAGGCCCAGAGTTCAAGCCCCAAATCGACAAAAAAAAAAAAGAATCCAAAGTTAGTATGTATATACCAAAACTTAGGTTTTGAGTACTATCCCTTAGCTTTTTTTTGCTAAGGCTAGTGCTGTGCCATTTGGGCCACAACTCTACTTCTGGCTTTTTGTTGGTTAACTGAAGAAAGGTTTCAAGGACTTTCTTGTTGGGGCTGGCTTCAAACCTGATCCTCAGATCTCAGCTTCCTGGCAGCTAGTATAGGCAAGAGCCACCGACAAATTTTATTAATTACAAAAAAAAATCTAAATTTCCAAAATTACACTGACATTATATAAAAATAAATTAAAAAGAAGTCTAAAGCAATGCATATTGCAAAAGCTCTATCATATATGGTAGCTCTATAATATGTTGGTAGACGCATGCCACTGTACCCAATGCTAACCTTTATTACCCTATCACTTAATGAAGTACTTTTTATTATAGTCCCCCCAAAGGTAGCAATTATTCATACCTTTGATGGATTTTGCTACTTAGGCATAGCTAAATAAAACGTTCAAGTCAAGCATGTTAATAGGGTATCATCATTAAAAGTGGGTATCATTGTAATATTTAAAACCCCCAAACCTTATATGGCTGAAGCACAAAGGCTAGTATTTTCTCAAGAGCAATGTTTCAGACAACATGTAAGCTGTTTGTTCTTAAGACTTCACAGGTGCCCAGTTCAGGTTAGTACTCATTGAAATGTAGAAAAAACAAGTCTTAGAGCAGGAGCTTTACAGGTACAAACATTTCACTCATAGGCATTTAAAAAAATCTTTTATACAGCAGAAATGGTTCTCCCTTACTGATACCTGAGTAAAGCAAATTCTCCCAGAGGAACAAACTATTTTAAGATGACTCCCTGATACATGAGTATGGAAGAAAAGATTTATTTAAGGAAAGCAAAGTAAGTTCATGTTGGCTTTCTAAAGCAGGAAAGTATGATCTACAGCGACTACTGTCAGGTTTATAGTAATAAATGGTTTGAAGTCATTTGCTACACATGCTAATCTACTAAAGACACAGGGAAACATAGTGATAAACATATAAAAGAAAACATAGATGTGCAATAAAAGCAGTCATTGACATGGAAAATGCCAGTTTATAGAAGTAATTATTTGTTCTCACCTATGTGGTACTTACTTGCCATCTGTGTCTGATGTAGCTGCATAGTGCAGGGGTGTGCAGCCTCTTTCATCAAGGTCATTTACACTTGCTCCTGATCCCACAAGAGCAAACAGGCACTGGTAATTGCAGTTGGCAGCAGCATAGTGCAGTGGTGATCTTTTGTACCAAAGTTAATAGAAGAAAGAAGCCAATACATACACTAATAAACAAGAGTACGGCTGACTCATATTCTATCAATATTCAAACACTATTTACAATAAGCCTTACATTTACTTGTATCATCTACCAAAGTCTTTTGGAAGGCTGGACACAAAGCTGGGAGAACAATAGCTGTTTAAAGAACCTTTTGGAGCATTTAAGTTTAAGAAATAAAGGAGAAACAGTTTTAAATTATTTACTAGTCCCCAAACAGTTGCAATCTAGTCCTTTGAGAGAATTATAAACCATGTTACATTCTGCTCAGAAAGATGAAAACTTTCATTTTGACAAAGCTTCCCACAGAACAGAGCAACTTCTTGTTCCTATCTTAATAGAAAAATAAAGTGTAAGAAGAAGGGAAAAAAGAATTTTAAAAGAACGGGAGCTGGGTGTGGTGATACATGCCTGTAACCCTAGTATTTGGAAGACACTGTCTCTACCCTCCACTCCAGAATAAAAAGAATGTTCAGTTATATTGGCCGCACAACAGATGTGAATAATCATATAAAAATTTGCAACCAATAAAGGCACAGTATTAAAGACTATTCAGTATTCCGAAAAGCTAGAGTACTGTTTTAATTTCTAAAAACTAGGCATTTGTAGTTTCCTCCAGGTTAGTGAAATAACAGAATGTTATTTATTAACAGGATGTTATTAAATTTAGGAGTAACTACTTTGGGATTATGTATCTATGATGATTCTATTACTTCGATGTAAAAACAAACAAAAAATGATGATAAATTCAGTCTAGAGTGCTTCACAGTGTAACTTTTCTAAGACATTTAAGCCTAATAAAATGATGAAACATTTTTGCATTATTGGATAATATAGAATTTTTTCCCAAAAGTTCAGTTAACTTTGCATCCCTTTAAAGCTACTAAACTTAGAATATGCTACAGAAGGTATAGAATGCTTTGCTACAAATTAAACTCGATATAATTATAAAAACTAAGCAGGGGCACTGGTGGCTCACATCTGTAGTCCTGGCTACTCAGAGGCTGAGATCTTAAAATTGAGGTTCAAAGCCAGCCCAGGCAAAAAAGTCTGTGAGACTTCTATCTCCAATTAGCCTTCTAGCAAAAAGTTAGAAGGGAAGGACTGGTTCAAGTGGCATACCACAAGCCTTGAACAAAAGCCAAGAACACAAAGCCCTGTGTTCAAGTTCCAGTAAGTATAAACAAAGCAACTAATTTATCCTTAACTTGGGCCATGCCAGATGGTAAGACTGATCAAGATGCATTCTACTCACAAATAGACATGTTAAATTTAAACATTTTTATATAAAGATTAAAGAACAAAGAATAAAATCCAATTAAATTTCTGGAAGAAACTGTAAAAGCCAATCAGTGATTTTTGATTTTGTGACTTATTGGTTACTTTCACTAGTAACTTATGAGCTGACTCTATTCTTCAAAGTATATAGGATCAAATAGTTTTTCAACTCATTTCTAATTTCCTACCATTTTTCACCTCTCTCCTACACTGGCCCAAATGTACTAATATACATTTATGTATTTCCTTCTGTTATATACCATTCCTGTCACACATTTTGATACATGTAATTTTCATTAATGACAATTTTACTTATCTCCTCATCTCCCTCTTTCAAAAACATTCAAACTGCTTTTAATTCTTTCCTGAATGGTTCTAATGTAATCTGTATAAGCAGGGAATAGATTATAAGTAGTTTTAAATGCTGCCACCAAACAACTGGTGCTGAACAGTTAAAGATAATACTAATTATAGAGATCCTGTCATTTCATAGCTGTTTTCTTATATACTATACTCAATGGTATATATGTGTCAGATATATAGAGAAAAAAAGAAGTAAAAACTGAAGATATTGTTATAATCTATATCCTCCCTCTTTAACATTGGGACATAAAATGAATGGTGTATATATATATATAAGTAAAACCAAATTGTGAGAATTTTCACCCAAAGAATGACTTGAGTGAAACCATGTTTCTGTGGATGTTTGTTTCTTCCTACTCGCTTTCTATACATATGTGTGCGAGTGTGCTGGTACAAGACCTTGAACTAGGGCCTCATGCTCTCATTCAGCTTTTACTCACAACTGGTGGTCTACCACTGAAGCCATGCCTTCAGTTTTTTGCTGGTTAAGTGGAGATAGGACTGTCTCAGACTTTTCTGCCTGGGCTGGCTTTTGAACCTCAATCCTCAGATCTCAACCTCCTGAGTAGCCACTGGTGCACAGCTTACTATACCAATCTGAAAAGCACACAGGTATCGAGGCCATGATGATGTGAGGAGAAAAATATGAAGCATAGAGATACTTATAATAAAGCTGGGAGACTGATGCCAGAGCTTTGTGTGAAGCAAATACTCTACTACTGAGCAACATCTCCAGTCTTACCTGGGACTCTCAATGATTTGTGCTTCTTTTTCTCTCTGTCCCAATACCAAGGACTGACTTCAGGGGCCTGGCACTTTTGCTCAGCTTACTTGCTCATGACAGGCCCTCTGCCAGTTGAGCCATGCATTTGGCATGGGACTTTCAGTGAATCATGACCACATTTTAAAAGATGCTAAATTGTTCAGTTAATTTTCAGATGTCAATTGGAAGGTCAATCAAATCATTAAGTAAAAACAGTTAGACTCAATGGAGGAACTGTATCATAACCTACCTCCCAAATTTGTCTTTTCTGTTGAAGTCTGCACCAGTATTGAGCAGGAGGTTTAGGCACTCCAAATTCCTAGGCAAAGAAGAGAGTTAGAAAACATAATAAAACTGGTAGGTTTATATAAACATAAAAAATGTTAATGAGAGTAAATGTAAATAAAATGGTATTTATTTCCATGAAGAAAAAATATCAAAACTCATCTAGTACTTAAAGTTATGATCATAGTACTACAATGACTGGAAATGAATAAATCCTGCCTCTGTTAAAGAAAGACATTTATAAGAGATTATGAGTAATTTGTAGGAAACAATTATGACTATAAGTACATGGCTTTTAATATTTAAGTGTTTTTTAGTATCAAATCTATGGGTATAAAAGACCCAAAAGCTCCTTGAAAGCACAGCTTTCCCTTATCTGCTCTGATTACTATGATTACTGGAAACTTGCTGGAAAGCTGGGCAATGGTGGATCATACTTATAATCTGTTACTTGGGAGGCAATGATTGAGAGAATCATGGTTCAAGATCAGCCCAGACAAAAAGTTTCAGCCAGTAAGTGGGATGATGATGGTGGGCCCAGGTTATTCCAGTTAGTTGGAAATTGTAAATAGGAGAATTATGGTCCAGGCCTACCTGGGCATAAACTTGAGACTTCATTTGAAAAAGTAAAAAGAGCTAGGGGCATTGTTCAAGAGAAAGAATGCCTGCCTAGCAAGTTCAAGGTCCTGAACTCAAAACTCCAGTGCCAAATAAATATAGATAGATTAGGAGCCCACATTACAAAAACAACTGTTCTTGTAATTTAATTTTTATAAGCTTGAATTATCACTGCCAAATGGCCAAATACTCAAAGTCTGTGTATTTCTCTCTGTAGGCAAGTTTCAGGAAAATTAAGTTTGAAATGTAACATTCTTTGGTGACCTTGGAATTAGTGAATGTCACATGCTCACAATCAATTTCTGTAATTTGGCAGGATATTATTCATAGGCACAATTTCTGTAATTTGGCAGGATATTATTCATAGGCACCCCTATCCTCTGAAATCATGAATTTTTAAATACATTTTAAAAATTATTATAAAGGTGGTATAGAGATGGGTTACAGTTTTATAAGTCAGGTAATGAGTACATTTCTTTTTTTGTTTTTTGGGTCTGGTCCTGGGGCTTGAACTCTGGGCCTGGGCGCTGTCCCTCAGCTCTTCAGCTCAAGGCTAGCGCTCTACCACTTGAGCCACAGCACCACTTCCAGCTTTTTT